TGTTGGTGGGAATGTAAACTGGTACAACCCCTCTGGAAAAGTGTGGAGATTCCTCAGGAAACTAACAGTAGAACTCCCCTAGGACCCAGCAATAGCATTGCTAGGAATTTACCCAAGGGATACAGAAATGCTGATGCATAGAAGCACATGTACCCCAATGTTCATAGCAGCACTCTCAACAATAGCTAAAACATAGAAAGAGCCTAAGTGTCCATCAACGGACGAATGGATCAACAAGATGTGGTTTATCTATACGATGGAATACTGCATGGGAATGAGAAAGAATGAAATCTGGCCATGTGTAGCAACATGGATGGACCTTGAGGGTGTTATGCTTAGTGAAATAAGTCAGGCAGAGAAGGACAAATATCATATGTTTGCACATATAGGAGGATTCGGAGGAACTTACCTGAGGACCATGGTGGAGAAGAAGGGGGGAACTGGTGGGGGAAAGGGAGATAGGCAAACCATGAGAGGCTCTTGAATGCTGAGAACAAACTGAGGACTGATGGATGTTGGGGGGGAGGGCGGAGATGTCCATGGAGGAGGGTACTTGTGGGGATGAGCACTGGGTGTTATATGGAAACCAACTTGACAATAAACTATTTGTAAAATAAATAAATTAATTAATTAATTAAATAAATAAACTTAAAAAAATCTACAAATTACCTAGACCTGGTGTCAGTTGAACATATCATCTTATAAACATCACTGAAAGAAAATCCTTTCTTCATATGTTGCTTTTGGATCAACAATTCTGCTGTCCCCAAATTTTCTATCAGCAGACATGCTTCTAGCAGAGGAGACTTTAAAAAAAAACTAACAGTGGTAATTGGTCAGATAATCCCAGTACCAAAGTTTACATGTTTATTAGTTATTAAACTGACAATGAATATTTATCACTTAGTTTATCCTTTGTCATCTTACTTAGTTCATCATCTTGGAAGTATGTTTTTGTTGGATATATTTTCTTAAAGATTCATTTAAGTGTGTTAACAGTCCAATTATTTTTAGGTTTTCCCCGTAGAAATTTCACTTTGAATGTACATTTTTAATATTTTTAATATTACCTTTGGCTATAGCTTCTTTCTGCTTTTAGAATAGATTATCTACTTAATATATATTCTAGGATATTCTTTTTCTCCAAAGAATTTCTCCTCCACTTACAAGCTGAAGGCTGGACTTATGTCCTCTCATTCATCATTTCTAGGTTTCTTCAACAGTGAAGGCTATAAAGCACTCTAATTAGCTGCTGCAGTTTCTTACTCTCTAGATCTTGAGAGCTTTTATTTCTCTTTCCCCATCATTGGGTTCTCATTAAGAGCAGATTCTTGATATTAAAATTCTAAACTAAATTTCTATTGTTTCTTTGTAAACTCATTTGACAATGACAAATCACTCCTTGTATGTATTGCATAGTAATGTGTTTGATTCCAAATTCATTACTGAGAAGTAAGGGAACATTAGGAGTATGTTTGTAGAACTGAAGAGCCATATCTCATTTTTTTTTTCCTACCCTTGTTTCAGCTAGAAATAGAGAAAATCACATGTACCAATATCACATGTATAAAGAAGTTTTAGCCATTTCTTTGTTATACTTCCACACTGTCATTTAAATTTCACCTATGTGATGTCTCCTCTATCCTATTAACCATTTATACATCAACTCATCTGATTTTTGCACCATTTAAACTACTCTTGTCGAGGTCATCACTCGCCCCCTCTTGTTTCACTCACTAAACACAATTTAGCCTTCATTTAACTCAAATTCCTTGCTGCATATGAAACTATAAACTGCTCACTTATGAAAGTCATTACAGCTTAATCCCCACCAACTCCATATTTCCTTGAATTTCTTCCTACTACTTTGTCTACTGATTTTCATTCTCTTTCATGACTTCCTTTCCTTCTCCAATCCCTTTGGTTGTTGATACATCTGAAATCTCTTTTCTAGAAAAATCCTTTCTCGTACTCTGTCTCTTATAAATACGTTGATTCTTATTAAAAGGTGACTTCAACTAGACTGATGATTCCCAAATTTATATCTGCAGAAAATATCTTAGAGTTTTCTGACTTCAACATGCAGTTTATTCTTGGACATCTAGATCACATTTAGAGAGTGTGAATTTCAAGTTTTCTTTTTTCCTTCTTAAGTGTTCTTGTGCAATTTGTTTAACTTCTTTATCATAATTTTTTTTCATGTGCAAAATTCAGATAAAAGGTATATTTACTTCTTAGGGTTACAATGATAAATTTAGATAATATAGATAAAGTATCTATAGCTGCATTTGGAAGATGGCAAGCGGTCATTACCATTAACTCTACTGAGCATTCTTATTTTGTTATCTTATGTGTTTTATTGAGAGTCCTGTAGATGTACACATTTCAAGATTTTAAATGTGCCTGTCACCATTGCATTTCCTTCCCTGTCAATCCTAAATTTCATCCAGGGACAATCTTTATTGTCCCTTTTTTCTTTATTCTCATTTTCGGTTTATCAGTAGGTCTTGCCACTCTGGTTACCTTCTGAATTTCTTTCTTTTATTCTCAGACTCACAATACTAATTTTACGCTGGGTGTTTTTATTTCTAGTTGAAAAGCTTATTAGTATAATCTTAACATATATCTTTACATTCAATATTTAAGAAACATTGTAATCAGAATAATTTTTTACAAAGCTCAAATATGATTAATTCTCCTTTATGCGTTATGGAAAAATGTTTTGAAATATTATTAACAGATGTTCATCCTATCCTAGATATTTCCTTAAAACTCTTGATCCATCTCTCAGTTATATGAAAGTTTTAATTTATTTTGGCTTTAGGTAAGAATTATGTAGAGTAGAAAGAGGAACATATTTATGGATTTTGAGTTTTAAGTGCATCAAGCATTTAGACTAATGGAATATTTTCATGCAATAAAGACTTTATTCCACATAATGAGTAAGGACAGTCTTCTCATATTTAGAGAATTTAGGAAACTTGTTTAGTAGGGGATGAATGAGTTGGGAGATAGTTTAGAGAATTTGATAGTTCTGAATGAGATCTCTATGTTTGGGCCTCTCTGCTATCTTCCGCTGATATGAAGCTCGAATAACAGAGGAAAGAAAATGAGATAGACTTTTGCAGGGTTCTTTCCATGTAGAGATCTAAGGAGGAAAATGATAGGAAATAGTTACACCTTGAACACAGGTTAAAAGAGCTTTAGGAAGTCACATGGTATTTCCATTATCAAGACTGGTATAGAATTAGACGAAGGGTGCTCCTGTGCTTAATGGTGGCAGGAAAAAAGAATGTTCAGTACTTCATGCATTTTCCTGTATTGCATTCTGCTGAAGAAATAGAAAAGTATCTTAAGGCTTATACAGAGAACCACTGAAACATAAGAGTACTATGGGAAGAGGGACAAGAAGCCCCATTGGAGGAAAGCACAGAATCAGTATTTGAGGACATGAAGAGATGATGAATATTTTGATAATGACAACTCTGATGGATACTGACATTTCTTTACCTCTTAATACACTGAAAGTGCACAAATGTACCAGAATTATGGCTAAGGTGCGTTGAGGGCGACAGCACAGAGATATGGTAATGATTCACTAAAATGAGGTGGCAGAGTTACATAAGGAGGAAAGACACTGAAACTAAATTGAATTAAAAAAATAATTTTTTCTTTAGTTTTTCAGAGTTTGCAAGTAGAATTTTTGT